TATATATACGATGCAAAATAATCTTCTAATTTTAAAATATTATGATTAATAAATAATTATTATTGAATTATGATTTTAAAATAATTAGTTAATTTAATAATGACTCTAATTTATTTAAATTAGACATATTTATGTCTAAAAAATTATGTATGTATTTGTATAATTTAATTACTTTTAAATTTAAAATTATGAATCTAAATTAGTTAATTCATGAAATAGAATGGATTTAAGGTTAATTATTATTTTAATATATTTTTAAAAATTTAAAATATAATTTAATAAGATGAGTTAAATTGAGGATTCAATGTAAGTTGACTAATCAAACCAACCTATGTAGTCAAGTACAACCTAACTCATGTGAACCCAGTCAATGTGGTTAAGTATAATCGAATTCATACGATTCAATATAACTCAATTCATATGGTCAGATACGATACAACACATACAGTTAGAAAACTCAATCGTCATTTTTCTGTTAACAAATTTGATCTAAACATGATCTTAATCGATTGACGATAAAATAAAAAAAAAGAAAAAAAAAGGAGACATCGAATAAACTTTAAATAATGATAAGAGATTATCTTGATTAAAAGAGAAGCCAAACGTTATGATTATTAAGGATAAAGGAGAGCATCCACAAGGGCATCATAATTTCAACTGTTGTTATTCGCTATGCATGAGGAATAAAAATTATTGTAATAAATTATTTATATCAAAATTATGGATAAAATGATCTATAAAATATTTATATGATTTTGTAACTTTATAAAGATATAAAATTATTCATTTATTTGATCCAAAAATAATTTATTGTTGCACCAGAATTAAAAAAAAAAACAATCTTATGATAATTCAAAACTTGATTTCTTGTGTTTAAATTAATATGCTTTAAATAGTATTTATTACTCGTAAAAATTTAAAAAAGAAAAAAAAAAGCTTGATTGAAGTTGATGATGGATAATATGATATTTAATTAAAATTGACTATACATCAATATACTATATCTGTAAAATAACACTTGTTAATTATAGCAAGCCACATTTCAATCTGAAGACATCAATCTATACATTCCAACTTCGTGATCATCCATAAATACCCTATCCTTGTTTGAAAATGCGTATGTCGTTGTATGTTCACGTTGCATCGGTTCATTAACATGATAAATAAATGCATAATTTTGCTTTGATTCCTCGTCTTATTTAAATTTATGAATTCTACTTTTCTCAGTTCCTTCCATATATTCATTTCATTAATGTCTGTGTGACCAAAATTGAGACTTGTGATGACATAAAGATTTGAGAAATTATTATCCAAGACATAAAGAATAAAGAATAAAGATGGAACAACTGATATCAAAATTCAAAACACAATTCACCCATTGATAGAGATGAGTGATGATCTAATGATCCTATCAGAAATGAGATACTGAATACATGCAAAAAGGCACGGATAGCCTGAAAAAAACTGGTTGAGATACGGGTCAAGATAGTGTGCATAAATCTGAAATACTAGTGATGTAAATGATCATAAACTCTACAACAAGAACTAAAGCCAATTACAGGATCTTGCAATACACATTTAATCGTCACTTTTAAACCTTCTGATCTTACATGTTAGTTTGCATGTTTTTTTTTTTTTTTTTACCGTAAAAGGATACATTTCAATAAAGATTAAAGTGGATTAGATACTGAGATAGACTGATCTATGACCCAAAAAAAAAAAAGAGAATTTACAGCCCTTCCTGAGATTGACTAGCCAATGGGCCACGTGGTTCATGATGCGGGAAACATGGACCACATCGGCAACATAAAGACTTGAAATAAGAAATAAAATGACATCCAAAATATTCTTAAGGAACCAGCCAATCGACTAACTCCAAGGGAATTAGCTCAATAAAGATGTTGGAGAAATTTAGTTGTGCAGCCTTCTTAAGGCTTTCAAGTGGAGCAGAAGCTTCAGCTATGATGATGAGAAGTTGCATCCACCAAATCCAAGAATGAAGAGATCTGCACCTGGAATCACAAAGAGTGGACGAGCAGAAGCCTATGGAGGCATGCAAGAGT